ATGAAAAACTAGTAGAATTCAAAGAACAAGTCATGACTAAGTTAGGAATGTACGCCTGGTTGATTTTCTCATCTTCTCAGGGATAATTTTTTTCAAAGAAATGCGGTCACTTTCGTGGATAAAGCACCTTATTCCTAAACACCTAAAATTCGAACTAATTCCCAACAAACATAAAACAAAACAAATGAGCGAATAGAGCAGAAGAAGTGCTCACAAAAGGAACACCACTCGATATGAAACAATGGCGTTTACGAGGAACAATTTCAATTTGAAAATTGCTATGGCTTATCGGTCAGCCAATTCGAAAAGAAACACGGCAAAGCTTTTTCGGCAACCTAAGAGTGGAATGTTTAGAAGAGGTCATGAGTAAGTAGAGGGTACATCATTGATTGATTTCTCCAGGGAAATAAAGTTAGAGCTAGTTGTCGGTTTGGTCAATTTTTGTCGGCTGGACCTCCCATTTCGCAGGCCTAAAATTTGAAAACCCTGGAACAGAGGTGGAAGAAGAACATAGCATCTTGTAGAGCAGACAATTCTCTTTCGAATGGTATATGACATGTAAAAGCATGGGGATTTAGATGAAAATTTTTTGGTTGAAAAAAAGCGACACTACTTATGAGACAACCTAATATTTTTTAAGTACTCCACTTACCGAAAGCGCTATCCATTCGTCATACAGCGATTGTTTGTCATCAGTTGTTTTCTTGAGCGCACATTCCAGCTCACTGATACGAGCATAAAGCTTCTTGTTCTCAAGGGTGAGTTTGTCTCGCCTTAAAAACGATTGCATATTACTCAACCTTATTAAAATAATTTTTTCGATTCTCCTCAATAATTCCAGCAGCATTCTTGAAAGAAATCGTGCATGGAAACTTGTAGTATATCTGACCTGCATTTGTGCCTTATGTGTGATCGCAGTTGACGCGTACAGTTGCTGCACAAATTTCAGATTAAAGAACATGCTACCGGGGAACCACTTTTTGTGGGCACAGAGAAACATCAAGACGGACCGATGGAAGCGCATGCAACTAAGTACATGGACGAGTGTGGAGGGGGGGGGAGGGGCTCCAGAACTTGTACCAATAGTGGAGGGCGATAAATTAGTATGCAATGATGAAACGCTTCGTGCGTGCGGTTTCCAATAATATGACCTCCGCACCCCAACTTTTCATGGGTTCCTCACCCAAGAAGGGGTATTTATGGAAAGCGACGACTGCGGGAGCAAAGCCCCCATCGATCAAGGGTTTCCCAGCCCCGGGCCAGAATCCCACAACACCAGCACCGAGGGTGCGTGATGCGCCCTGCCGGCGCATCGTTCAAACTCCGCATCGCTCACACCCCGCGATTTGTTTGAGTCGGTTAAGGCAAACCCCGGCGAGGGGCTGGATCCCCAAAACTCTGCATCTCTGGATGCCTCCCCCAGTTCTTGACCTTGAGGTGCGTTATCAAGTTGAGACGCAGAGTTTCGAGTACTTATCCCTGGCCGGGGCTTGCTACATCCGGCCCCTGATCGCAAAGTCTGACACCAGTCAGGGTGTGGTTCACTAGGACAGAAAGCGACTTTTTCGCGTTTCGCAGCGCGAAACATTTTTCGCTGCAGGAACTTCAGGTCCACTCATGATCAGCAGTGGACCTGAGGCTCCTGCAACAAAATTTCTTTCGCGCTGCGAAACGCAAAAACTCGCTTTCTGTCCTGATAAACCACACCCCACCAGCCATACGAGGAGACTGAAGAGTGACGGCGCTCCAGGAAAAAAGGAGTGTCCCCGCAGTCCATAGATGTGACGCTGTGCTTTGGAAATAGGGCAATTAACAGTTTTCTTAGCTTTCGCATTGCTTACTAAAAAAGATCATTTTTATCTCCTTATCGGCCTTATCGTGAAGGATGAGTCCCAAGCCACTGATCAGAGGGGAAGATAAGAACATGCGGTTTCCGTGCACGATTTTTTTGCAGCACGTCATCACTCTCCTTTCAGGGAACCCTCCCCGAACTTTACCAGCAATTGAAATCTAAGCTGTCGAAAGTAATAATAAAATTCTGAGCGCTGGAATGATTAGTGCACTCAAACTGTCACTAAATGGAAATTACGCACTCCTTCGTAACTGCGTTGAGAGCAGCGTCGTGCTGATCAAGTTTTCGATTGGCTTCGATGAGCGATTGGTCGTTGCGGCTTTTCTGTTTGTAAACTTCGGCAAGCTCTTCACGCAACTGCTTCAGCTCTAGCGATGACGATTGCGATACAGTGGTGCTGAAGATAGCGAAATATACAAAACGAGACCGGCATATGTTGTAAACAGTGTTAGCCTCCTCTCACAAAATCTGGCTTATCCGACGGAGGCTCAACCCATCTAACATGGACCTATGTATAACGTCTAGATCAAAAACCCATGCGCGACTAGGCCATATTATAAGCCAGCAACCATTGTTTGAGCTCGCGTTGTCGCGGAATAGTGGAGTCACGTGAATGATACCTAAACCTTCCTTACTCGAACTGCGAGCAAACTAGAAGGGGATCGCAAGCCATAAACAAATGAGAACCTGGTAATCGTGAAAGTAAACTAGAATTCGGACGAACACAGCACAGCGTGTAACCGATGATCGGTTCTTGCGGGAACCTCTCCACACTTGATCATGGTGGACCTGGGATTCCAGTAGCGAGAAAGTCAGGCGCTGCGAAAAGCGAAAAAAATCGCTCTCTGTCCTAGTGACCCTCACCTGCACTCAGTAGCTTGGATGCGGAGCCCACGAATCTGCTAGAGCAACAGAGCAGCCAGAGAAGAAGATGCGGGGTATGGAGGAAATACTAAGAAGCAGAATATCCCTTGTGAATGCCTCGTCACAAGTCATTGCGAGAGCCAAGTATGGGGGAAGGAGACTTACTCTGTCGCGTCTAGTGAGCCACGATTATCGAATCTTCGTCGTACACGGATCAGCTCATCGGAAATTGAACTATCTGGAAGAGGCAACAAAAAGACAGCTATATTCCTAGTTTTCGGGTACATTTAAAGTAACGAACAAATTAGCACGTACAATTCTTGAAAATGGCAGCCCATGGTCGAAAATTAGCATTCCTTGCTTCGAGCTTGCGTAAGATCTCCTCCCGGAAATTTCCGGAAGAAGTTGAAGGGCGATGTTCCATCTCTGGAAGAAATCTCTTGTCATCAGGGTGAATAACGGTCGAGGAAATCCTCGACAGGGGGTCGTATTTGCTCCGATGAGAGTTGGGAGGGGGTCGTAATCAAAAGGTTCATCAACGGACACAACGGTGCTGCTGCCACTATTTGCTGTCATCATTAATTTCACAAGTGTTGTAGTTAGCCTAATGCAAATAATATCTTACACTGTCTGGAATTAAAATTCAAATGGAAGGTGTTGCTGGTTTGGTTCGTAGTGATCAGTATGGCATAGGAAGGCAACGCGTCCTGCAAAAGAATCGTAGGGAAGGGCAGCGAGTATCTACTCTAAATTGATGTACACATTTGAGAATCTAGTGGAGGAACAGTATATTAGTAGAAAGTTCAAAAAGGTTAGCAATCTCCTAGACACAGTCAAACACTGCAGGCGCAAGTGCGTCATTCATCGAAACAGGGTCGGAATGGAAGCGATTTCAATAAGAAGTGATCATCTTACACACTATAAAGCGCTTCGTCTGTTCGTTCTTCGTCTGTCGTTCTGTATGTCTGTCACGAAATTCCCTAGCTCCTCGGGATCCGCCTGGAGGGACCGGGTCAAGTGTGGGATGGGTGGGCAAGGTCTCACGAAGTACAAAACACACATCAGCTAAGCGGAGCCCCGCCCACAGTGGGCGTGGCGTGCGTCGAAATGAACTGTACCTGAGACCAAGATTTCATTTCAGTGGAAAACGACCTCGAAACTGGGCCAAAAAGTGGGTAAAGGTGTGCATTGGTAAGTCACATCGAATTAGGGAGACCCACCCCCGGTGGGCGGGCGTTCTCTAAAAAAGCAGTGCTTTATGAAAAATTTCATAACTCGGTTGGGAGAAAGCCTACAGAGCAGAAAACAATTTGGTGTAAGGGAGCAATGTCCAAGGTGTTTCCTGCATACATGACGTGGGCGGAGGCCCGCCCACAATGGGCGGGGCGCGCTCTGAAGTGTACAGCATTTTCTACAAGCCCTCATAATTCGGGTCGGGGAAGAAATTCTTAAAGAGCAGGAAAAAGGTGAGGTAGGTGAAGGAGTGGAGCCTAACTGCCAATGTTGAGCGGGGCATGTCCAAAATGGGCGGAGTTTGCGACGAAAATGCGAAAATTCAAACTCGTTATAAGACTCCCCGGAACTCGAACAAAGGTAGGTGAGGTGTTCGAGATGAAACCGCTGTTACCAGGTGGCGGGATTGTCCAAAGTGGGCCAAAGTTCGCGTACCGAAATTCATCCTTGCTCCATGTGGCGCGCACCATCTCGAATGGTGTCTTCTCCGTTGTAAGTACACTTGAAGCTTCCTCTCGAACTCCCGCTTGGCACGCTTTCTCGCAGGGATACTCCTGCGTTCATCAAAACAGAAAGCCTTTCAGGATTCTTTAGCTTGCGGACCAAGTTCAAAGCCCCAATTTGAACTAGCGTTCTCGGCAGACTGTGCCTTTCATTAACTTCTTTGGTCACGCCTCGGTAGCCTTCTCATAGGCTGATGTCAGAGTCCGCGATCCGTCGCAGGTTTCGCTTATTTTCGCGATTTTAGCGAATCACGCGACGGGTCATGGAAATCACAAGTGCCCCATCAATACTGCAAGGTGTTCCCAATCCCGCCGTCACTTCTGCTTGATGGTTATGGTTTAATGAAGACTGCTCATGATTCCACTTGTTTCATATCCAGTGTTTCAATTGTTCAAATGGGGCACTTGCAATTTTTGTGATCCGCGCGAAGCCTGCGACGTATCAGAGGAATCGAAAGTGCCTCCATCACCCCCCCCCCCTTTTTTTTCACGTTTTAATGGGCGCGGCCGAGCACGGCCGAGCCGGTAGCGCCGCGCGAAGTGTGCGGGAAATTTGAAAATGTTCCAGCACAGTTCGCGGGCGCCTTGTGTGTGTTGTGCCTTGTGTACTCCTGTGATCCATCGCAGGTTTCGCGAAAATCGCGAAAATCGCGCAAATCGCGAAAATCGCGAAAATCAGCGAAACCTGCGACGGATCGCGGACTCTGACATCAGCCATAGACCATAGAACCGAGGCGAGGGCCTTACGTGCCGCTTTCGATTGAAAATGGTGTCTTCTCTTCGCGTTTCAGTTTCTCTGCTCTAAAATTCCATTTAGCATCACCTCATCCCCTCTGAACCCTTCTAGAGCCTATCGTATCGCTGCCTTAAACCATTCTGCCATTCTTGCCTCCTTTTCTGCCAAGAGTATATGCCATTCTATAGCCTTTATGTGTTCCAAACGAAGCCCGTGTAGTATGGCGAAGCCTTCGATCTGTTGCCATCACTGTTTTTCTATTGACAGAGGGCCAGGGAGGAAAAGCCATGGATCTCTTCTAAGGAAATTTAACCGTGTTCAATGTAACTTTGACGAAACCTGCTTATCGTGTCCGATGCTATCTAAGAAGCCCATCATGATAAAACACGGGCAAATGTTATTCAGAATTTACACGGAAATACACATCGGACAGCTTGTTTTGTTGTCTTATCACCATTTCTGACTATTTAAACGAAGAAGATGAGTGAGTACCATTCCGCAAGAATGAAGATTTTCTTCGTACTGCTGCTTTCGGTTTGGATTTTGGCAAGCGAGTGTGCGATCTGGCGCTCGGCTCCACGATTCCCGAGGAACCCTCCTGGTAGGTTGCTTAAGCCAGCTGTTACGGTCTTCAGAAGGCACACATGGCACGTACCACGACTGCACTCATAGTTGTTCAGATAGTGCAAAGGCCAAACCAAACGTAGCAGCTGAAGAGATTGGTGGAACTGCAGATGCGGTCTTTAATGGCCGGTAGGATTTCTCTATGACTATTTCTTGCAAGGAAAGGTACTTTCTTCTCAAATTTTAGAGAATGGGTTGCTGTTGAAGACTTGCCACCTGTGCGTGAGTATCCAGCATCGGGATCATCCGGTAACCTCTAATAGCCGGTAGGATTTCTGTGTGACTGCTTCTTATCAGAAAAAAGGTACTTTCCTTTCAAATTTCAGGCACCGCTCAGTTTAGCTGGAGCAGGGCCGTCATCTGGCGGGTCTTCGAATGCATATTCCTTTTAAACACTCTGTGTGTTTGTTTGTAATTTTTTGTAAAAAGGAATGTGTATGTGTTGATATGATATAAACATCAAAAGGAATAGCATTCTTGTGAAACATTAGCAAGGCGAACTGCGGCCAAAAACAGCAGTTAACAAACCAAAACAAGTCAAAAAAGAATAGCGTAAATCAGCCTTGTACATGACTAAATTTCTGCTCAAAATATGGTTCTCCATGGTAATGATTCGTATTAAGGCTTATTCAACGATGTAGCCAGTAAAATGACTACCGTTCTGGTATAAGTTATCCACAAAGGTGTAAAGTGTGTGTGGATGCCGTTCTCTCTTGTCATGACAGCTACTTCTATTGCTCACAATGCAGTGGCCTAAGCGGCGAAATACTGCCGTCCTCTCTTCCGGTATGCTCTTTCTCTCACCGTGTATGGGTACCCCCCAGGAGGCCCATCGCGCGGCAAGAAGGCAGAGTCGGCGGACGAGTTGCAGCGCGTGGTGTGCGATGTAGGACGTGCAGTGGGACACTCTATTTAACTTGACGCGAAATCCCTAGTACGCGCGCGACTCGTCCGCTGACTTTGCCTTCTTGCCGCGCGACGGGCCTCCTGGGTACCCGTCCGGTCCTACGTTGCTACAAGTAGCAACGGGGGGTCGTACTTTGATGAGTTTTTGGAGGGGGGTCGTACATTTTGACGAGTTTGTAGAGGGGGGGTCGTATATTTTTATGAGGTTGTAGAGGGGGGGGGGTCGTACTTGCTTCGATTGTAGAAGTTGCCATGAGGTGAGGGAGGAGTGGCGCGGGGGAAATTTGGTACGGAGGGGTAACTTGTGAAATTTTAGGGAATTTGGAAATTTTTTACGGTTTTAGAGTGCTATATCACCCTCCCCTCTTTGGGAGGGTCGTCTCGTAAAGATTTTCGAATTAGCAAACGAATAGACCGACCCTGCTCGCAACTGCAGTGGACGAGTTGAGCGTCATTCGACATTACACTGCACAGCTCATGACATGGCCGGCGGAAGCCATCTGAAGCCGGTAGGAGAATGTGTTTGAGAATATTTACTTATTTTGGGCATAATTTACAACTGTTGCTAGTGAATCTTCCTCTCTCAGGAATACGGTTCACATAACTCTGATGCTCTTTAACGTGTCGCTTCATAATTATTTTTGAAACTATTCTTTGCAAATTCGTAAACTCGGAGGGATAAATGAAGCTCCGAACCATGCAAGATGTGTTCGCCCAAAGACTCCTGTTTACTAAGAAAAGGAACATGGAACAGTGTGAAACAACAAAAAGTAAGAAGAAAATAAAAAGTTGGACAAATCTGTCGACCAAATCTACCGTTGCCGCGCCCATCGAAAAATGCCGCGTTACGGCGCCGCGCAAGTAACCGCGCGCGACAGCGCCACTCCCGGACGATTCTGTTGCACGCTCCCCTCTTTAGCCTCTCCCCTCGCCCCATGACCCACTGTCTCAATGCTGTAGCACACCCCATCCCACAAACAAAGACCCATCATTTTGGGGTTCATGGAGCCACTGCGGTTGATAAGTTACTATCCGTATAAGGACTGCTTGAGTTTTACCGTACCCCTGTTCATGGTAGGACCTCCCTGACAGGTCAATGGAGCGCGAAATCACCTCGTACACGTTGGTTTGGGTGTGGTGCGATATGCGCAATAAAATACAACCACTGGGAGGCTCTATTATAATTGGGCGTAAAGGATTTGAAAGGAGCTGTCTTATGCTGTTCTCAAGAGAATATGGAGCAACAGTGAACCAGGGCAGTAGGTACAGTAGGTTGACAAAGCTTAAATCTGCAATAAATAGCTTAGTATTTCCACGAACTCTGATGGTGCAGCAAATAGTTGTGAAAACAAGTATGCATGAAATTTTCGACCTCGAAATTTCCTATTCAAGACTCATTCAAAACTCCCACTCATCATTTCTCATTTCTGAGGAAATGACTACTTAATTCCGTCCAGGAATCTCTTAACTCTGTGTGAGGACTGCGTTGCCTGTTTACTGACTATTGTTTTGCTCTGGATATTCCAACACACTTGTTGCCCTGAATGTTCCACAATGCCAAGTGAAATTGTTGGCATAACGGCTAACGGTATGTTCCTCGACTGAGCGAGGTGAAATCAGCTCTCAGCGACATAGAAATGTGGATATCTTGCGGATGTCCCGCTTTCGTAAATTTCATAATTTCAAACACTAGATCCGTTATCACGCTGTATGAACTTATCAGAAGCCAATTTTGCCGGGTAAAGTGAACGCCATGGCCTCAGGAAAGTGTTTCTCACATGTTAGAAGAGCGGGTTGGATATAGCTCTTGCTATATATTGGGGATACTTCCCCAAGGTTGGGGATATATCCCCAACCTTGGGGATATATCCCCAACCTTGGGGATATATCCCCAACCTTGGGGACATATCCCCAACCTTGGGGATGTATCCCCAACCTTGGGAGAGGGGATGGATGGTGAAAGGTATTTTTGTTGATGACAATTGTTTTTGTCCCTCGTCGGGGCTTGCTGCACCCGGCCCCAGAAGTTAATTCAACCGCTAAGCATTCCCAAAACCTGAAGCATGGTAGTTGTTCACGATGATGGCTGACGATAAGGCTGCGTTCATAGCTCGCGACTCCAGCAATACAATGTACGTACGCGACAATGAAAAAGATATGTATGGAGAGGAGAATAAGATAGTATTAGGTCGTGAAGAAAGTTCTTGCGCTTTTCGGTGTTTCGTTTTTGAACGCTTTATTTTGTTACGAATTCAAGCAAGCTGCCAATGAGCTGTATGTGGTTTTGAAGAGCTTTTCTTGTTCTATCTAACAGCTAGGCTAGCTATGTTCCTTATTATTTAGTTGTCATTTTTTGAAGCCTTGAATACGGCATACTCCAAGAGCAAATTTGCATGATTTCCTTTTTCTAGCTCAAAGCAGGCCAGTATGGAGAGGAAGCAGGTCAAGATATTATAGACGCACTTGGCTGAGATTCGCAATAAATATGGTCTGAAGCAATTGTTCAAAAAGCTTTTGTAAGAATAGCGAGAGCCCTAAAGATTGTGAGGGTGGTGATCGGAGATTGGACAACGCCAACGATTAGTCGAACGTTCTGGTTGAAGCACGTTTGCACAAATCTATTGAGAGGGTTCCTCCTAAACTAATCGCACTTGCATTGTGTTTTCTTGTTGTACGGGAAGAGCTGGAAAGTCCCAAAAATTCAAATAGGGCGTGCCGCGACAGCTCACCATTTTGAAGGGTCGTTCGCCGCGTTCTAGCTTGTTTCATGCCATCCTACTTACTATAAAGCGCTTCGTCTGTCGTCTGTCGTCTGTCGTTCTGTATGTCTGTCACGAAATTCCCTAGCTCCTCGGGATCCGCCTGGAGGGACCGGGTCAAGTGTGGGATGGGTGGGCAAGGTCTCACGAAGTACAAAACACACATCAGCTAAGCGGAGCCCCGCCCACAGTGGGCGTGGCGTGCGTCGAAATGAACTGTACTGAAGACCAAGATTTCAATTTCAGTAGGAAACA